ATTCAACAGCTCGGGTCCATAAGGTGTTAGAGTGATTTATATGGGCTTGTTCTTGAGACCGGCAAGGTATTATACTCATTTGACAGATGAGGAAACAGAGGTACAAAGAAGTTAAATGCTTTGCCTGGGGTCCCGGAGTGAGGCAGTGCTTGATGTGGAAATACGAACAATAGCGGCAAAGTCAAGCATATTGTGAGCAAGGTCACGCGCGCGGGTAGAAATAATGGATATTTGCTGAAATACATGGTTTGCCTGGCCGCTGTGTCATTAAAAGTTTAAGTCTGGTTAATCTCCCATAAATGCAGAAGAGACATTCAATCTAGCATCTCCTTTGTGCGGCATCTCTTTTATTTTTAATTTGTTTCGTGATGCTGTTGTACTTAGCAGTGGCGGGGAAATAAACCCATTTGGGACAGACAATTAAACACGGTCACTGGGGCAAGGAAGCTGGAATTATTCGAGGAACAGCTACTGCCGATGCCATCCAGGGGATCATATTAAGCCAGGTACGCTGCCAGGGGCTAAAATGCCTTTCCCTTCTCGATGCCTTTTATTGCCTTCTTTGCAGGGAAGAAATCCCAACCTCTGTCTGCCCAAGCCATTACGCAGGCAGTGGAGGGGAGCTGAGGCGGTGTCTGCATGTGGATGCTGCTCTGTAGGAGGCAGAAACAATTTAATTCCTCTTTCGATGATGGTTTTGGGACTATTGTGAGCAGCATCTTGCCTTCACGCTTGAGCCCTCTCCTGGAGGGGTGTCTGCAGCTGTCCTGGCAATGGAGCACTCTCCCATCCCTGAAAAAGTCTTGAATTAACGATTGATTTTGAATTAAACTGGTGTGGGCTCTTGTCACGGGTCCAGGCTGTGCACCTCCTGCGTGCCACTTGCTTTTGCTTTTGGCATGGGGCTTGCAAATACACCATGTTTTTCTTTTCTTTTCTTTTTTTTTTTTTTTACTGAAAGCGGAAACATGTCCCAAGACTGCCCTATAAAAATAGATAAAGGTGGTGTTCTTCATAACCCTGCAGCTCTAGAGTCGGAGAAAGAACCAACAGGTCACCATTTGAAGCCACTCTCTTCACCAAATTTGATAATTCATCTCAAGTGTATATGTATATCTGTGCGTGTTACAAGTTTGGTTTTGGCTCTCATAAGCCAGCTGTGATCCCTGGGTGGTGATTGCAGTGGATCTTGTTCTAAAGGCAGTGCAAACTTGGACCAGGTGGCACCTGGGTTGATACCTACCAATGTTGCCTGGATTGCTGAATTTAGGCCCCAAAACTCCTGAGGAGACACA